TATACTGTGCATCTTGAAGTTAAAGAAAGTTCTAGAAGTTTAATTTGCAGTTGAGGTATATTTCTATAATGGAATATGAAGTTCTGATTTATGCTACATGGATAAACGTTGAAAAATTATGCTAAGGGAAAGAAGTCAGACAAAGGGTCATATATTGTAGGATTCTATTTTTTAGTAAAATTTACTTAATTTATTTTTTTATTTTCTCACTTATTTTTTAAATTAATTAATTTTTATTACAGATGTTTCTCCTTTTTCCCCCCACAGATTCCCCCCTCCCTCCCCACCCTGTCCCCACCTTTGTTGTCCATGTCCATTGCTCATGCATACATGCATAAAAGTTCTGTGGTTTATCTCTCCCCCACCACCTCTTCTTCAGGGGATTGTCAGTCTGTACCCCACTTCCACATCTCTGGGACTACCCCATTCCTCAGACTGTTATGTTCATAATATTCTACAAGTAAGTGAGATCATATGATACTTGTCTTTCTCTGTTTGGCTTATTTCGCTTAGGTTAATACTTTCCAGGTCCTCCCATGTCATCTCAAAGGATAAGAGTTCGTTCTTTCTTACAGCTGCATAGTACTCCATTGTTTATATGTACCACAGCTTATTTATTCATTCGTCTACTGATGGGCATTTGTGCTGTTTCCAGATCTTAGCTATTGCAAATAGTGCTGCTACGAACATGGTGGTACATATATTCTTTCTGATTGGTGTTTCAGGCTTCTTAGGGTATAGTCCTAAAAGTGGGATCACTGGGTCAAATGGAAGTTCAATTTTTAAATTTTTGAGGTAACACCATATTGTTTTCTATCGTGGCTGCACCAGTCTGCATTCCCACCAGCAGTGTACTAGAGTCCCCTTTTCTCCACACCCTCGCCAACACTTGTTGTTTGATGATTTGTTGATGGCGGCCATTCTGACAGGTGTGAGGTGATACCTCATTGTTATTTTAATTTGCATCTCTCTGATGATTAGTGATGTTCAGCATTTCTTCACATGTCTCTTAGCCAATTGTATGTCCTGTTTGGAGAGGTGTCTATTTAGTTCCTCTGCACATTTTTTAATTGGGTTCTTTGTCTTCCTTTTGTTGAGTTGTATGAGCACTCTTTATATATTGGAAATTAACCCCTTATCTGATATATCATTGGCAATTATGCTCTCCCATACAGTGGGTAGCCTTTCCGTTTTGATGATTGTATCTTTTGCTGTGCAGAAGCTTTTGAGTTTGATGTAGTCCCATGTGTTCATTTTCTCCTTTGTTTTCGTTGCCTTAGATGATGTATCCGTGAAAATTCTGCTGCGTATGATGTCTGAAATTTTGTTGCCTACATTTTCTTCTTGGATTTTTATGGATTCATGAGTCACATTTAAGTCTTTTATCTGTTTTGAGTTTATTCTTGTGTATGGTGTAAGTTGATGGTCTAGTTTCATGTTTTTGCATGTAGCTGTCCAATTTTCTCAACATCATTTATTAAAGAGGCTGTCTTTACTCCACTGTATGCTCTTGCCACCTTTGTCAAATATTAATTGAGCATATTGCCTTGGGTCCATTACTGGGTTCTCTGTTCTGTTCTACTGGTCTTTATGCCTGTTCTTGTGCCAGTAGCAGGCTGTTTTGATTACAGTGGCTTTGTAGTATAACCTGAAATCTGGTAATGTGATCCCCCCTATTTTGTTCTTCTTTTTCACGATTGCTGTGGCTATTCGAGGTCTTTTTGGGTCCATATGAACTTTTGAAGTATTTTTTCTAGTTCTGTGAAACATTTTGTTGGTATTTTGATGGGGATTGCATTGAATCTATAGATTGTTTTGGGTAGTATGGACATTTTAATGATGTTAATTCTTCCAATTTATGAACAATGTATGTGCTTCCACTTATTAATATCTTCCTCTATTTCTTTTCTCAATGACCTGTAGTTTTCTGCAAATAGGACCTTTATTTCTTTGGTTAAATTTATTCCTAGGTATCTTCATTTTTTTGCTGCGATGGTAAATGGGATTATTTTTTAGTTTCTCTTTGTGTGAGTTCATTATTGGTGTATAAGAATGCCATCGATTTGTTGACGTTAATTTTGTATCTTGCTACTTTGCTAAATTCATTTGTTAAGTCTAGTAAATTTTTGTTGGAGTCTTTGGGGTTTTCTATGTATGGTATCATGTCATCTGTGAATAATGACAGTTTCACTTCTTTTTTTCCCATTTGGATCCCTTTTATTTATTTTTCCTGTCCGATTGCTGTGGCTAAGGCTTCCAGTACTATGTTAAATAAAATTTGCAAAAATTGTCATCCCTGTCTTGTTCCTGTTCTTAAGGGAAATGCTTTTAATTTTTGCCCATTGAGTATGATGTTGGCTATAGGTCTTTCATATAGACATTTTAAAACATGGAGGCTAAATAGCATGTTATTGAACAATGAATGGGTTACAGAGGAGATCAAGATAGAAATTAAAAACTTCCTGGAAACCAATGAAAATTAACACACAACAACACAAAGTCTATGGGATTCAGTGAAAGCAGTTCTGAGAGGGAAGTTCAAACCACTACAGGCCTACCTCGAGAAGGAAGAAAATTTTCTAATAGACTATCTAACCTCACAATTTAAAGAACTAGAAAGCCAACAAAAAGAAAACCCCAGAGGAAGCAGAAGGAAGGAAATAGTAAAGATCAGAGCAGAAATAAATGACATGGAGACCAAAAAACAATTCAAAGGATCAATGAAAACAAAAAGCTGGTTTTTCAAAAAGATACACAAGATTGATGGAACCTTAGCTAGACTCACCAAGAAACAAAGAGAGAGAACCCAAATACACAAAATCAGAGACGAAAGAGGAGAAATAATGACTGACACCACAGAAGTACAAAGGATCGTTAACAAATATTATAAACAATTATACAGCAACAAATTTGACAATCTAAGCGAAGTGGACAGATTTCTAGAAACACATAATCTCCCAAAACTGGACTGAGAAGAGATAGAAAACTTGAACAGACCAATAACAACAAAAGAAATTGAAAATGTAATCAAAACTCTCCCAGCAAACAAATGTCCAGGCCTGGATGGCTTCACGGGGGAATTTTACCGAACATTCAAAGAAGAACATACCCATTCTCCTCAAAACTATTTCAAAAAATTCAAGAAGAAGGAAGACTTCCAAATTCGTTACATGAGGCCAGCATAATTCTAATTTCAAAACCAGAAAAAGACACGACAAGGAAAGAAAACTACAAGCCAGTATCCCTGATGAACATAGATGCCAAAATCCTGAACAAAATACTAGCAATTCAAATCCAGCAATACATCAAAAAAATTATTCATCATGACCAAGTGGGATTCATCCCAGGGATGCAAGGCTGGTACAATATTCACAAATCAATACATGTGATACTGCACATAAAGAAAATGAAAGATCAATATCACATGATCATATCAATAGATGCTGAAAAAGCATTCGACAAAATCCAGCATCCTTTTCTGATAAAAACGCTCAGTAATCTGGGAATAGAGGGATCATATCTTGATGTAATAAAGGATTCTATTTTCTTAATATTTTTTCTTTATTGATTTTAGAGAGAGAGAAAGGGAGAGGGAGAGGGAGAGAGAGATAGAAACATTGATGAGAAAACATCGATTGGCTGCTTTCTGCATGCCCCCCACAACCTGGGTATGTGCCCTGCAAGAATTGAACTTGCACTCTCTTGGTGCATGTGTCGACGCTCAACCAGTGAGCGGCAATGGTCGGGGTGGGAATCTTTTTATATGAAATGTTCAGAATAGGCAAAAGTATAAATAGAGAAAATAGATTAGTGGTAGCCAGGTGCTGGGAGTTGGGGTAGGAGAAATAGAGAGTGACTGCTAATAGGTATGGATTGGCTTCTTTTTCTTTATTTATTTTTATCCTCACCCGAGGACATTTTTCCATTTTTTGTTCAGATAGAGTGGGAGGGAGAGAGAGAGACAGAAACATCGATGTGAAAGGGATACATCGAGTGGTTGCCACCCGCTCGACCCAATCAGGGTTGGGGACAAACTGCAACTGGGGTACGTGCCCTTACCAGGAACTGAACCCAGGTCTCTCTGGACTGCAGGCTGATGCTTCAACCGCTGAGCCAATCCAGCCAGGGCTGGATTGGTTTCTTTTTGGAGCAATGGAAATACTTTTGAGTTAGATAATAGTGATTAATACACAACTTTGTGAACATAATAAAAGCCACCGAATTGTACACTTTAAAAGGGTAAACTTTATGTTATGTGACTCATAGCTCAATAAAGCTGTTATTAAATAGTTTGGTCAATATAGATTCATAGTACCTAGAACATTGTGCATATTTGAATATCAATATGATGATCACAGGTAAAATTCTAGCAATATGTTAATATCATATTGCCAGATTCAGGACTTCTATTCCATGTTTTGATTTTAAAATATATATTTTAAAATTAAAATCCAACTTTTTTATAGTAGGAGAACTCAAACAATCTACAAATATTATTGACTCTCTAATTTGTTAAATGTGTATTATTTGGCCAGCCATGTGCTTTAGGAGTACCTTGAGATATATGTGTGTGTAACAGTCTTGTAAAATGATGGATGGAGGTGGTAAACACATTTCTAACATGATTGCACTGTGAGGTTGGGATACTTTGGAGCATATTCTGTGTACAGATGATTTGAAGGTATTTTCTCATTTTGTTATCTTCCCAATCAGTTATTCATATCTTAATCTAGGAATGCAATGATATGTGCTGTTACCCTAGGGAATGTTTTGGTCTCCTGTCTCACTGGATTATATGAATATTGGACTCTTAGGTTTGTGAATTTAGTAATATTTTAAAATGTAATTGTATTTGGTCTAAAAATTGGTTCTGAACCACAGGGGACTATCAGAAAAGATTTTCTGTTTTTGCTTCAAAGATGTGTGTAGAGTATACAAGTAGTCACTGTCTGAAAGAAGAGCTAATATTGTTTTTTTTTTTTTTTTTTTTAAATTTCCAGGTCTTTTTGTGGGCCTTGTGCTTCGATATGGAATTCATGTTCCCAGCGACGTAAATAATGTGACTCTGAGCTGTGAAGTGCAGTCAAGCCCAACTACCTTATTGGTAAATGTTAGTGGAAAATTTTATGAGTATACGCTGAAAGGAGAAATTAGTTCACATGAACTAAATAACGTCCAAGATAATGAAATGCTTAGAAAGGTAAGTTCTTAATTAAAGGGAATTTTTGATTTTTAAAAAATCAAAAAATGTATAACTAGAAGCAAAATGATTCCAGAGAAAAATAAATAATGAATTTTTAAATGATATTTAAAGTAATTAGTCTTTTATTTATTTATTTATTATTTTATTTTTGTTACTCCTCACTTGAGGATATTTTTTCGTTGATTTTTAGATAGAATGGAAGGGAGGGAGGGAGAGAGGGAAAGGGAGAGAGAGAGAAAAAGTAAGAGAGAAACATTGATGTGAGAGAGCCACATTGGTTGCTTGCCTCTGTACAATCCTGACTGGGGCCGGGGATTGAACCTGCAACCCAGGTATGTGCACTTGACTGGGAATCAAACCCTGGACCTTTCAGTCTGCAGGCCTTTGCTCTAACTGCTGAGCCAAACTGGCCAGAGCTAAAATAATTAGTCTCTTTTGTTTTTTCCTTTGGTACATGCCTCTAGTGGATACCAAACCCAGGACTCTCTGGTCCGCAGGCTGATGCTCCAACCGCTGAGCCAAACCGGCCAGGGCATAATTAGTCTTTTAAAATGGAGTAAAATCTCAAGGAATGTAATATAATGCAGAGTAATGAACTTGTCTGTACATTTCATTTTCTGATTGAGGTTAACTCTTTACTCTGATGTTTTCAATTGTACTAAATGATGACCAGTATTGAGTTAAGCAAAATTTATAAGTATTTCTTTCAATTTGCAGATGGTCTTTAGAGTTTATAGTACTTTAACACATTGAGTTGAAAATACATAAAATATTCTATTAATATCTTTTTGAATTATTTCTTGCCTTGATGGTATTCTGTACTGAAGACAATTTAATCTTTTTTTGATTCATAGTCTGGTACGACTTCAGGGGCCCCATTCTGAGTATCAGTTATTGTACCATGCTACACATAATGCTTTATATAGGAGGTTGGGTTGCAGTCTTACTGACTCCCAGATGTTCCTGAAGCTGCTTTCTCCTTTTACCCTCATAGTTTCTATTCCTGAAGCTTCTCTGGGTCTCATTGTTTCTGCCCACTCTTAGCCATTTGCTTCCATTTCTGTCTTCTACATTGGAAGGATTTGGCTCGTATAACTAGTTGATTATGTTCCTAACCATCTTGAATGATTTTTAAAAATTTCATGTGAACTTCAAGTTTATTATGCAGCAAGTGTTCTTTCCATCTGTAGAAAATGCCTGTTCCTTAAAAGTTCTAATAAACGAACTTGTAGCATGGGTATGTGTGTAGATGCTTTGTGTTTATGTCAAATCCTGCTACAGCCTTATGAACAAAAGGAGGCATCTGTATTATTCTAATGAATAAATATTAAAATAAGTAGACTGTCAGGACTAGAAATGAGTTGTGCAGAAACTTTTTACCATATTATGTTACATACCTTTAGAGATATTACCTAGACAAGAAAGAAGTCTGTTTCCTCTTACCAAATATCATACCATGCCCCCATATTTTATGTTACCAGTTTCGAGTCTCATTTAAAGCAAAGATATGTTCATGCTTTCTCCTGTTTCAAGGTTTTTAATATTGTATTTTAACACATTTTTCAAAGATCTGGCTTAACTGGTTGTTCCAAATCTGTGTTCTTGTCATTTGGTTGTGAAGTGAAACCACATATATCCTATATGAAATATTTTTTGGTTACCACAATAAGATTCTTGCCTTTCACTAGTTTAACATTTCTTTTTTTTTCTTTTGATGATGTGATAATGTAATATGAATTCTTCTAAGGGAATTCATCTAAAGGAATTCTTTATTTTAACAGGTTACTTTTGATCCGGAAGTATTTTTCAACATATTACTTCCTCCTATCATATTTTATGCAGGATATAGTCTGAAAAGAGTAAGTACTTTTGTATTTCATATTCTTTGAACAACCTTAAACTCCATGGGCTTTATCATCTTTGACTCTTTAGAAACAGTTATTTCTAGGTTTCCTTCCTTTCTTTTCTCTTTATCCTTTATAACTGCTGAAATTTATTCCTGTATAAAAATTGTTTCTCTCATTTCCTTTAATGAATAATGCATTTAATATTAGCACAGAACACTAGAATAAAAAACCTTTTTTTTTTTTTCAATTAATTTGTAAGTATTCTAACACAGTATATACCGTTTCTTTTGTCAGAGACATTTCTTTCGAAACCTTGGATCTATTCTAGCATATGCTTTTCTTGGAACAGCAATTTCTTGTTTCGTAATTGGGTAAGTACTTGACACTTAAAACACTTTTTAGCTTTCAAATTATAATTTCAAAATAACACATATTTGATTTATGCAGTATCATATTCCTGAATGTGTAAGGACTTTTTCAGTAAAATGCATTCACATAGATACATATTTGAGTTTTCCTTAATGCCAGGGTATTACCATATTTAAATGTCATGAATTAAATTTGGGATTAGTCACAAAGTACTACAGTTAACCTTTCTTCTTATTTGTATTATATACTAACTTCTTTAACAATTGATGTTTTTTCTAAAGTAGAACTCTGTTTATTGAACAGGTCAATAATGTATGGCTGTGTAACACTGATGAAAGTAACTGGACAACTTGCAGGGGATTTTTACTTTACAGATTGCCTGCTGTTTGGTGCCATTGTATCAGCAACTGATCCAGGTATGTTTTACATGAGAGAGGAGTTTAAATACTTAAGGAAAAATATTTTGCTGGCAAAGCATGTGTGGGTAATTCTTCCTTTGAGGTGCAGAATTCATGATTAGGTACTTCCCATAGTACTGTACTTTCCATTCATGGAGGATAAAATGAAATTCATGGTTCCTTTTGGCTTAAGCACACATTTATTTCTTTCAAATTTTTTTTTCTTTATTGATTTTAGAGAGAGAGGAAAGGAGAAGGAGAGAGAGAGAAACATCGATGAGAGAGAACATCGATTGACTGCCTCCTGTATACCCCCCACTGGGGATTGGGCTGACAACCTGGGCATGTGCCCTGACCAGGAATTGAACTGGAGACCTCTTGGTAAATGGGTCAACACTCAACCACTAAGCCACACTAGCCAGGCACACATTTTTTCCTTATACTTTATTACATTTGCCCATTACTGGTCCACAATCTGATGCTGTTTAAACATGGGCTACAGGTATTTTCTTCAGAATTCTAGGTTGGTATCTATTTCTAATGTAATGAACTAGATAAATTTAAGTGGGTAATAATTATATACTTTCTTTCAAGCTTCTAGAAAAGCAGTTGCCTAAAAATCTTCTGTTTATATTCAGCTACTGCATGTGAGGGTAACAAAAGAAGTTTCTAAATAATTGTTATAAGGCAATTGTGTTACTACAAATGTGATTTGGGGTCATTGATGGGTTTTATTATACATTCAAGGATTGTGTTTATAAAATTGACCTTATGATTATAAAATATTTTTTATATTAACACAGCTGAAGAATGAATTTAATTGTACTGAATTAGGTTGTAGTTTTCCGGATACAGTATTGGTGGGCTTAACAGCTACAAATTAAGCAGTTAGAGAATATATAGGCTGAAGAGGTAGAGATAGGAACATAGGATGCAGTTTTTAAAAACATATGTTTTTATTGATTTTAGAGAGAAAGAGGAAGAGAGAGGGAGGGGAAGAGAGAAACATCGATGGAGAGAACTATGGATTGGCTGCCTCCTGCATGCCCTCTACTGGGGATCAAGTCTGAAACCGGGCATGTGCCCTGACCAGGAATTGAACTGGCCACCTCTCAGAGCCAGGGAGGGCATTCAACTGAGCCATACCGGCAAGGGCTAGGTTGCACATTTTGAACTAAGGATAAAAGTTTTCTTTTACTAGGCTTTAGGACCTTGCTAGAAGTTTATTCTGTTATACCTATTGACCTTGAACGTTAATCACCTTCTTCCATTGTCATCCACCACAATTAAAGGCAGAATCCTGAGGTTATCTCTGAATTTCTGTGTTAATTCTGATAACACAGGGCATTATAGGAAGTAGGAAAATGTTTTACGTTATAAGAGATTATTGTAAAAGATAGAAGACATTTTAGAGATACATTTGTGTAGTTTAGCACTTTTTAAAACTGAAAATCAAATCACTTCCTTAAAGACCATCAGGACTGCCCCCTTGTTATTTGTAACTGCTTCCACTATCAATGTGAAGATAGGATGATTTTTGCAAGAAACCAGTGGTCTCTGTTTTCTGTGTCTTCACTAGAAGCAAGGTCTTTGCCTTTTTAAAGCCTATGAGAATATTTTTAAAGAAAAATAAACAAACAATATTTTCTGCACCATTTAAATTTTTTGTATGACAATTTTTAAGCTATTTATTTTTTCACCATTTAATTTTTAAAAATTTAATACTTAATTTATTAATATATTTATTACAGATATCCCTCCTTTTTGCACATTTGACACCCTCCTCCCCATTCCCACCCCCCTCCTTCAGTACTGTTGTCTGTATCTATTGATTATGCATATATGCCTATAAGTTCTTTGATTTATCTCTTCCTACTCCAGCACCCCCCTTCCCTCTGAGGTTTGTCAGTCTGTTCCCTACTTCCATGTCTCTGGATCAGTTTTGTTTGTCAGCTTATTTTGTTCATTATATTCCACAAATAAGTGAAATCATGCGATATTTGTCTTTCAAAGCCTATGAGAAATTTAAGTCAATAGGACTGGCTACATTGCTTTAACCTTCTGTTTTTGCTTTGATAGGAGTATTGCCTATTGGCCCAAGCAAACATCTTTTGTTTATGTAAAGCTGGGCAGTTAAATTTATTCTGAATTATAAAGGCATATGTGCCTGTAATAATTCTATTATTTTGCAATTGTTCACTTCACAGAAGGTTTTCTTTTTAAATTCTGCAGCATTGCTCCTGCCCTCCTTTTCTCCTTCCCTTGGTAAGCTTTGCTATCAGTATTGATGAAATGCTTTGCAATAGAAACTATAACTTTTAAATACAATTTTCTGTTTATTTGGTTGGCATTTGCGGAGGCTCTCCTATCTTCAGTTATAATACTCTTTTGTGTCTGCTTGTGTTTATTTAGTGAGTGAGCTGCGTGTGACTCAGCAATTAAAGTTATAACCCAACTTCAATCTCATCAGATTTTCTAAGAATTCTCTTATTCTTTTTTTTCTTCTCAAGCTGTAATAGAATGATAGTTGGCTTCTTATTAAGTTAAATACAGCAGCTGTAATTCTGGTCAAAAAGCAAACTTGTGTTTTCATTTCCTACTGTCTTTGCTAAACCAGTGTGCTTGAAATTTGCAAGTCAAATAGAAGTGAGTTGTAAGGCTCCAAAGAAAAAAACAAAGTTTGCAGCAGAAAATGCTTTTCATAATGCTCTTCTTCAAAGATTAATGATCATCTGGTCTATAAGAAATTCTGAATACATTCCTTATGGAAAAGAAATGTACAAGACAAGATTATTAGCATTTGCATGAAGAATGTAGGGCAGCTCATCTTCCAAGGTTATTTTCAGCTGCTTGTAAGAGAGAGAGGAGATATTGCAGGTACACATTTAGGGAAAAGAACAATATTGACACAAAATTACTGAATCTTTAATATGGTAAGAGAATGCTTATTAAGATTGAATTCTAAGACAAATGAATTTCTAAATAACAATTATAATCATCTATGGAGGGGAATATGTTATATTTGTAATGTCTAAATATTCCTCTTGACTCTTTCTACTTGCTAGTGACTGTTCTTGCCATATTCCACGAGCTTCAAGTTGATGTTGAACTTTATGCACTTCTTTTTGGTGAAAGTGTCCTCAATGATGCTGTTGCCATAGTGCTGTCTTCGTAAGTGTTTGTTTTCTTATTATTCTGCATATTGAATATTAGGGTACTAGGAACTGTAAGCCACTTATTAAATGAAGTGCATTATGAATGGAAACATTTGAAAGAATGAGACATTCTTCTCTTCTTGAAAAAATGCATACTTGTAGATAACGTGGAAAATGCAGGGACGAAACAGGAAGAAAAAATATGTACTTCTAACATCTAAAGACAATTACTGTAAACATTCTAGAACATGTCCTTTAATTCTTTTTTCTATGCATGATATTTTTACATAGTTGTGATTGTAGTACATATATAATTTTATATTTTGTTTTATCATTATAACATGAACATTTTATTTTTTAATTAAAGTAAAATTTTGAGATAGATAATGTATCTACATGATTCAAAAATCAAAACTATGTAGAACGGTAAATATTGAAAAGTCAGATTTTTACTACTGTCCTTATCCGCCTCTCTCCAGCCCCTTATGGTTTACCATTTTATTAGTTTCTTGTGTGTCCTAGTATTTCTTTATTCAAATGCAAACACACATATGAATAAATATTCTTATTTGCCTCTTATTTCTATTTTAAAAGTAGTATGCTATAGAAATTCTATACGTAGCTTTCTCTTACATAACTGTATTCTGGAGATCTTTCCATATCAAAATAGAGAGTTTTCTCATTCTTTCTTTTCAGCTATATAGTGTTCTATGTATTATACCGTGAACTGAACTCTAGTTTATTTAATCAGTCTCCTACTGTTGGAAACAAAGTGTTTTCAGTCCTTTGCTATCCCAAATAATGCTGCAGTGATTAAACTTGAACTTAACCTGTTTTCTATATGCATAGTTATATTGGTAAGATAAATTTCAGGAAGTAAGATTAGTGCGTTAAAGGGTAAATACATTTGTAATTTTGTTAGACATTGCTATATTGCCCACCAAAGGGATTATGCCATTTGTTCTTTATCTAGTAAATTATGGGAGTGCCTGTTTTCTTGTAGCTTCACCAACAGACTATTTGTAAGACTTTTGTATTTTTGCTAATTTGATGATTGAGAACTTTCTCATTGTAGTTTACTTTGTATTTCTCTTATTTAATATAATCATTTCAGAAACATTTAAACATTTTTAGAAGTATTAAATAGTATAGTTTTAAAAAGACAATGATTGAAATGAGCAATATTTGAATCCAATTATAGAAATTACTATATATGTTTTTAGAAGGTGTTTGCAGGTGAAAGAAGGGATCTCTTGCCCTGGCTAGTGTTGCTCAGTTGGTTGGGCATCTTTCTGTGCACCAGAAGGTTGCCTGTTTGATTTCTGGTCAGGGAACATGTCCAGGTTGTGGGCTGCATCCCTAGTAGGGGGTGTGCAGGAGGTAGCTGATTGATGTTCTGCTCTCACATCAATGTTTCCCTCCCTTTTCCTTCCTCTCTAAAAATCAATAAAGTACTTTTTAAAAAGAAAGAAGAAGTCTCAACCTCTGAGGAGTTCAATCCTGCCAACCCACTCCAACTAAGCAGATACTAACCTTATAGACATTTGCCTCTACTCTATACCAGAACTTTCTATGAGATAAAAGTAAAAGTCCACATTTTCTCTTTATTTTTGCTTCTCTCCTTAATTTATACTTTATTAACTAAAAGAGTAATCAATCACTGACTGGTTTACATAGCTTGAGTGGCTCCATTGCCTTACTGCAAAGTGGAAATTATCCTTTCAAAAAGTAACACTAATCCCTTAAATGTTGTGTGTAAAGATATGCAAAAGACAAAATCCTTTTTGATGAATGTAATATACGTAAATTTTATCCCCTCTGCCATATTTATTGCCAGACTTTTTGCAGCTGTCTACAGCTAATGCAAATTTAATTTAAGAAATAAAGCCTAGCGGCCGGTGTGGCTCAGTAGTTGAGCATCAGCCCATGCACCAAGAGGTCGCTGGTTTAATTCCCCGTTGGGCACATGCCCAGGTTCTGGGCCAAATCCCCAGTGAGAGGCATGCAGGAGGCGTCCAGTCAATGTTCTTTCTCATTGATGTTTCTCTCTCTCTCCTTCTTCCTTCCTCTCTCTCTCTCAAAAAAATCAATGAAGAAAAAAAATTAAAAAAAAAGAAATAAAGCCTAAAGGCTAGAACTAATATTGATACAGAATGTATATACCTTCAATGACAATAGATACAAAGTAAAAGTTTTATATTATTTGAAGGAGGAAGAAATGGATAGTGTGGTTATAACTTAGGTGTTATAACAATAAATGAAGCTACAAAGATTGTTGAAGCTTTCAGTACACAGAAGCATGTAAGATCAGATGAGAAGAATAAGTTATAGGCAGTTACTTTTAGCACCGATTCCCCATCTTAGATAATTGTTCTGCTACTTAATCATCTAACTAATAAGTATTCCTTCCTCATTGCCTAATGGACAAAGTCAGAAAAAATCTCTCTTCTGGTCCTGTCTTAAACTTATGTGCCCTGTGCCTTAGTTTTTCCATTAGTAAAGCAACTTATTTCCTCCAGATTTGAGGATGAACAGTTGAATAGTGTTAAGGGAAAAATAACTCACAAAGGGCCACAATCCTCCTTCTATTGTAGCCTTTTTCAAACAGGGTTCTGTGAGAGAATATAAGCCTTATAAAGAATGATTCGAATGATTTTTTTCTCGGTTCTCCTAAGGATGGTGCATAGCTAGTACTACTCTAGATTCATAGAAGATAAATTAACTTATTACACAGTCTGGTGGAGAAAAGGGCTGTATATCTGGAGAACATCATATCAGAGAAATTGTTTGCTGTTGTAGGTGTCCTAATGGAGGTAAGCAAATGAGTTTCTGCCCAAAACCCAAAGGGAAATAGTTGTGTTGCTGACTGTGAGAAGTAACTAGCTGGAGTGCTCAGCAATATGTCTGTTATCATCTTTCATTTGCCTTTTTAAGTATGTTAGATAGAAAGAGTCTACTTTGTGTTGAGTTCTGTTAGGGTGATGATTTTCTAATGTGTATATTCTATAAAGGAGCCTGGCATAAAGAGGGAAGCCCCTTTCTGAAGGACTTCTGTTTGGCAATGAACAAGTTAAAGCAAACATTCTTGAATTTTATGTTGGAAGTTTTTTTTGTTTGTTCCTTGACCTGTTAGATTAGTAGTACTTTTTTTGTTGTTGATGCTAATACTTTTAATCTTGTGAGAATGAAGTGAAACTGGTTCCCTCATACATCGCTACATGAGAGATCTATATGTACTCATATAGTCTAGGATATACATCCAATTAAAAACAAGTCTAAGTTGCTGAATGGATATATCATAATTAGCCTGAAGACCTAAATGCATACTAATATTATGTTTTAGGGTATTTTACATTTATAAAAGGGGAAGTACAGTGAGTAAACAAATATGACAGGCAAACTGTTTAACTTTTCCAGTTACCAGAGATATACATGTTAAAATATGTGGCCATTTTTACCTATTTGGTTAGCAAGAAAATATTGTTAATGAAAGTAGTTACTGCTGTTAATGATCTAGTGTAGTCATTCTTAACTGGGAACAATTTTGTCCCCTGCCAGGGAATATTTGGCAATGTTTGGGAACATTTTGGTTGTCATGAATGGGAGGAGGTTGCTACTGGCATCTAATGAGTAGAGGCTGGGGTACTGCTACATATCCTTAACTACACAGGACAGCACCCACCACCCAATGAATAATTATCTGGCCATAAATATCAATAATGCTAGATTGAGAAATCCTGCTGTCGTAAAACTAGATCACTTGTACATTGGTGTTAACTTTGAAATTGGTGTCACCTACTCTTTTGTATTTTTTGTCATTATTTATGATAATAAAATTAATATATTTGTAACAAAAATTCAAAGGATTTGACTTAGAAGGCAGGAAATTTCTGAAATTCCAACTCTCAGAGACAACCATTATTAAAGTTTTTATCCAGACTTTTTTTCATTAGGATATTAATATACATATAAATATATTAATCATTTTAAACAAAAAAGATATAGTACTATACATACTTTCTGTAACTAGCATTTTTGACTTGGACATTGTACTATATTAATACCTCTCTTATTCCATTGTAAGGACGCAATACAAATTTATCTCACCAATCCTCTATTGATTAATATTTGGCATTTTGTAATATTGTATTATTGTGAATAGTACTGCAGCAAACATATGTATGTGTAAATCTTTGTTCATCCTTGAGATTATTTCTTTATGATAATTTTTATAAGTATAATTTCTAGGCCAATGGATATGATCACTATAAAGTTGAGAGATACAGTCATATTTCTCTCCAAAAATGTAACACAGGTCTATTTGAAAGCAGTTGTGCAACATATAGCCGTAGGTATAGTAATACCCTATTTCTAGGAATATAGCACAAGGAAATTGTCCAAAAATGTTTTGAAAGCCCAAATATGTTTTTTACCCTGTTATTAATAGTAGCAAAAGAAAAACAGTAGAAACAACTTTTAAATGTGTAACCATGGGGAAATGGTTAAATAAATTGTGGTATTTCCATTTGGACCATTTTGAAGTCTTATAAACCAAGGTTAGAGAGACTATAATAATTTTTATGTTATTGTCAGTTAAAGAAGCAGAATTCAAAACCATATTTTCACCGTGATTACAACTAAACATGAAATAGTATGCATGTTACAAAAAGGGGAAAGAAATACAGATGGAAAATAAAATACATCTGTCAGGGTTGTGAAGTGTTGGGTTGAATCCCCCTCCCCAGTTGTACATTATATTACTTTCAGAATTTTTAAAGAAAGTATTCATAAAAATTCAGGGAGAAAGAAGGTTGTTGTAGCAATATCCTTTCTTTTCTCCAGCCAGCTGCTGTATTTTCATGTTATAATGTGGTCAGATCTCACTTATGGTGGTGTGGCCCTTTATGTATAGGTAAGAAAGCATGACATTAAAGGTCTTTTTGTATTTATTGAAACAATATCAAATCTACTGGTACCAAAATGATCTGGTCACTTTGAGTATTTAAACAAAAATGTTTAAAATTTTCATTTGAGATTGAGTCTCAGAAATTCCTTGGTGCCATTACCAGAAATTGATGTTAGTGCTGTACTTAAATAAAATAGGTAAAATTCGGATATTTTAGTGTGGTCATAGTTTTTTTTTAAAACTTAACTGGGGAGCTATATAAAGAACTTGGTGTGCATGGTACAGCAAGCCCATTTTATAGCCTTGAATCAGAAAAAAACATTGCAGTAACCACCGGGAGAATTCATTATATCTTAGGAATGTGTTTTTTTCTCCTTCTTTTCTTTGAAATGACTTGTATGATGTCTTTGAGTCTGGACTTTTATAAAAATATTGGTTCCCTAATTTACTGAGATGATAACTGATTTAGTAATGGTGAGCACTCTTGCCAGAGACCTGCTGGCAACAGTGGTTTTTCTCAGCCATTTCTGTTTCCTGGGGTGACTGGTTTAAAAGAAGCATTTTAGACCAGGTTTGGACTGTAAGTTCAGGATGGAAAGTATCTGTAATTGCCTGTTTTGGCCTTGTACAGAGTGACTTTCTTTCGGAAGTTTGTGCTGGGTATGCTAAAAGTACTGTTGAGTGGATTCTAATTCCTTGGAAGGCCTTTTAAGCCCTTTTTCCTGTAAAAGTCCATTTCAGTGAGTGAATAAATATTAGGCATTGGGCCTATTCTGGTATTTTAAAAGCTGAAAGGACACTTCAGTCATCTTTTTTTTCCCATAGGAATAACAAAATGTAACCAGGTTGAGTATTATTTCTCTGCTGGAAATACATGTACTTTTTCATTGGTTCACATTAGTATGTTAGGGCTTTCAGGCAGTCAGTAAGTCTTAAACAGGGTCACAAAATAATAGTACTGCACAATATCTGGAGGCTGAAGAAAAGGCTCAGTACAATTTTTATATAGAGGACCTTAAAATGTTCTACCTCCTGAAATAGTCATTTAAGTAAAAGTTGAGTTTTCTTGTTACCTTAAACACTGCAGGGTGTTTTGTTAACCCTTTGACATTACTTTGGCAATTCAAATCCAGAGTTTTTGGTGTTTTTTTCCCCCTTTGATTTAATCTTTTAATCTCTACACTAGATAATGTTTTTATTTATTTATTCATGTAATTATTTTTAGGTAATGTTTTTAAAGTAAACGTTGCTTCTAGAAGTAAGAACAATCTCTTCTTTGTAGGTCAATAGTGGCATACCAGCCAGCTGGAGACAACAGCCATACCTTTGATGTCACAGCCATGTTCAAGTCTATTGGGATTTTCCTTGGGATCTTCAGTGGATCTTTTGCGATGGGTGCTGCTACTGGAGTGGTGACAGCTTTAATATCCTTTTGTTTTTATCCTCACCCAAGGACATTCTTGCATTTATCTTCAGATAGAGCGAGAGGGAGTGAGGGAGGAAGAGAGAGAGAAACATCAATGTGAGAGGGACACATTGAGAGGTCATCACTCACACGACCCCAACCAGGGCCAGGGACAAGCTGCAACCAAGGTATTTACCCTTAGCGGGAACCGAAGCCAGGACTCTGGTCCATGGGCCAATGTTCAAACCGCTGAGCCAAACCGGCCAGGGCAATATCCTTATATTATATTTATATTTTCTTGTTAACCCAACAACATAATTGAATGCTGTGTTCTGTGATCTCTCCTAGTTCCATAATTGGCATTGTGTTATAATTACTAACCTTATAACCAAGTATTTGGTTTGAAAACATTAGGCAATCATGTTTACCAATAAACAAAAGGATTTAATTGTGTTGTGTAGGGCTCCAAGCCCTCAAACTTTCACTACAAAAGTTTAATTAGACACAGTGACCCTTTGGAATAAATTTTAAGGTTGGAGACTAAATTGATAAAAATGTAGTTATATTACAAAGAGTCTCAGGGTGTTCTGTGTTGCTTTTCAGCCTGGCAGTCTTTTGCTCTTTGTTTAAAAGGAAAAATAGGAAACCTACAACCATGATGCTAGCTGAACAAGATGCTATACTCCTGTGCGAGTATAGATGGGAATTCATCTCAGCTTTCACCAATTTTAACTTTCTACTCCAGAGTCCTAGCACTGTCACAAGTTTGCTATTTGAAATATTGGGCGAGTCATTCTTGTATTCATTCAGAAAACATGTTTTGATTGCCTGCTGCATGCCAGGTGCTATTCTCTGGTGATCAAAGATAAACAAGACAGGCATGGCCTCTGCTTTCCTGGAGCTTCTGGCATAGAAGCATTGACACTTCACCTCATGGATCCTCTGTGTAGGGAGGTGGAGGGCAGGAGCAGCAGGGAAAATCAGTTGGACTAGATGATTTCTAAAGAGCTTCCAGCTCTAAAACTTTTAAGAAACTTTCTTTCATATAAAACAAATACTTTTTCAGGAATCTGTAGGTTTGCTGTACTTCAGCCAAGTGCTGGAAGAGACTTGTCTTATGGCTTTTTTTTTTTTTTTTAAAGAAGGTGAATTGAGGCCCAAAGGGGCAGTACAAAGAATTTTGAAGGAATCAGGCCCAGTAGTATCTTCTCCATTATAGTTCCTTAAGGGTAGGAAGTATATCTTATTAATCTTTTTGTTGTAGTACATGTTTATTGAAGTGAGTGTAGATTCCAGCCCAAGGTTTTTCACAGTTTCCCACGGGGCCCTTCCACTCTCAACTAACAAATACTTTTTAGACTAGTGTAAGTGAGTGACGTGCCTCAGTTTCTTTGTCATGGAAAGCTGTGCATCAGAGGTGTTACGGCATTGGATAAATGTGAAATGCCATGGAAATGACATTTTTATAGATGTTAATTGCTGTAATTATGGAAGTTGTTTTGCTTTGGGTCACAACTTAATAGTCAGAGTTGGCATGTTGTATATCTTATCTGTTGCTCCCATGTCGACCTGTCCTTCACTGCATGGTTTCAGGCAAGGCATGTGATACCCATAAAAGAGTTGGAGTGATTTAGCTGTAAGACTTCCTCATGAAAGGGATGGCTGTCATCTCAGTAAGATGCTCATTTTAAGAGTTTTATTCACTCTGGGGCCTTTTTATTCTGTGATTGTTGTGTTAGACAGGCTGGCAAATCCTTCTTTTACTTTCATGGTTGCCTTGCTTTAACTTATTTTTTCTGGTCGCACTGCTTCCTGTATTATGAGATCTTGTTAAGAACCTTGACAGTCTTACGTGACAAAGTTCACCAAATTACGGGAGTTCCATTTATTGGAGACAGGCTTGTTCTTCTTGATGTCCTGGAGTACCTTCCTCTTGGCTGAAGCATGGGGTTTCACAGGTAGGTTACTTTATCCTTTTGATTGTAAACCCTTATAGAGAGTCACTTTGCCAGTCATATTTTTCTACTTGTAGACCAATTTCACTAGTATTTGAATGCACTTATAAAGGTTGGGATTCATGCTGTCACTAAAATGTAAAAAGAGATTTTCAATGGAAGTGGTATGTTTTAACAAATAAGTCACAACTGAAAATGTCAACACTAAGCATATAATCTACTTCTGTAAAATAAAAGCCTCAGTAGAAGTGTTGGGAACTCTCCTTTTACATGAACTTGAAACTCTCATTACAGGAGTGGTTGCAGTGTTGTTCTGTGGCATCACACAGGCCCATTATACATATAATAATTTGTCCACGGAGTCTCAGCACAGAACTAAACAGGTAAGTAAAACTTGATGGTTTGTGAATAAACTTTTCCTCCCTGTAGTGAAACAGAAGTGTTTTTATACTGAAAAAATAATCCGTTATTTGTTCAAAATGATGTCTACTCATTCTGGCTCCTCTTCCTTTGACTCCAGAAATAGATGGAATTGGCAGGAAGAAGGGTGATAGCCTTTAGGGTAGAGATAGGTGAGCAGAATAGCCAGGGACTATTATTGTGTCAGTTAGCTTCCTTTCCTGTTTTCCTAATCTAATGACTTTTTTTTTTTTTTGATCCTCACCCGAGGATAGTTTTCCATATATCTTCAGATAGAGTGGGAGGGGGGAGAGAGAGAGAGAGAGAGAGAGAGAGAGAGAGAGAGAGAGACATCAGTGTGAGAGAGACACATCGATTGGTTGCTTCCCACATGACCCTGACCAAGGCCGGGGACCGAACTGCAACTGAGGTACGTGCCCTTGATCGAAATTGAACCCATGACTCTTTGGTCCATGGACCGATGGTCTAACCACTGAGCAAAACCGGCCAGGGCTAATCTAATGGCTTATAAAAGGAATGTTTTAGGAGCTTACTCAGGACTGACTAGAACTCCTGTTGTGTGATATTGGTATGTTTAACTTCTAAATTGACTAGATCTGCTGGGTGATACAGAGAAGATTAAGTTCCTTCAGGTACTTCGAAGGTGCTGAATTTCCAGGAATGTGAAAACATCAGTGGTTGGGCTTCATATGATACTGAATGGTCGTTTGTGCAGGGTCCCTGAAGGGGATCATAAAAGAAATAGGCATAGTATTTTTTAGTCTCATGAGGTATAATGGGGCAAAGACATGAACAATTTGTAATGTCTGGAATAGAAACAGATGCATATTTGATTGTGATTACATCAAGGAATAGAAGATTGAAATTTTGCCAAATGATTAGAACACTTGAGATTAGCCTGGAGAGGACTTATGACAAAGCTAGAGCAAAGGTATTTCTTCTTTTTTCTGGAGCCACAAAATTACTGTATGACATATGCTTTTTTTCCCCCAACCACTCAAAAGAAGTTAGGCTTTTCACCCTAAGGATATACATTGAGGTTATAAATTCGTTTTATGAATTAATTCAATGTAATAAGTATAGAGAAGATAATCAGCTGGTGGGGGTTGTCAATTTTCTAGGCAGTGGGGTAGGGAATAAAAAACAAAACAAGATAGGAGTGTCTACTCTTATTGATGATATAAAGACCGTGTACATTAAAAAAAAAAAAAAACCCAGGCTGACCCCTGGCCAGTTTTCTCAGTGGTTAGAGCTTTGGCCTGTGGACCAAAGAGTCATGGGTTTGATTCCTGTCAAGGGCACATACCTTGGTTGTGGTTCCATCCCTGGCCCTGGTCAGTGTTATGTGGGAGGCAAGCAGTCGATCTGTCTCTCTAGAACTGATGTTTCTTTCTCCTTCCCTTTCTCCCTCCCTTCTTCCCTCCCTCCCACTCTATCTGAAGATAAATGGAAAAATATCCTCAGGTGAGGATTTAAAAAAACAAAACAGACTGATAGAACTTCTAGTTGTGTGTTTCAGGTTATATATCATACCAGAGTTCAGAGAAAGGTTGGGGGAATGGTTTGAAGCTTGAAGAACTGCATGTAAAGCTATCATAGAGGAAGTGGTAAGAATAGAAAGCTGGGAAGGATTCAGAAAAGCCTAGGGGAAACAAAAGTAAAGGCAGAGATAAAAAGGCAGCTAATATTCTCAAATGGAAGGTAGTGAATTGCAGAGCAGGGTTGGCAGTTGTCAGCCAGGCTTCCCTGTGAGGTCTGCAAGCTAAGGATGTTTTTCACATTTCTAAGTGGTTGGAAGCAAACCAAAAGAATAATTTGTGACATGTGAAAGTTATATGAAATTCCAATTTCAGTGTCCATCAATAGTTTTATTGGTACACTGCCACATTCATCTTTTAATATATGGTCTGGGGATGCTTTTGTGCTATGTTGGCAGAGTTGAGTGGTTGTGACAGGGACCATGAGGCCCACAAAACCTCAAATATTTACTCTCTGGGCCTTCATAGGAAAATTTTGCCAACCTCTGCTGTAGATTAAAGTGGAGACTCAGGAGTTACTGTATTATTCTAGATCCTGGTTCCATTACTTGCTGGCTGTGTGACTGGGGGCAAGTTGCATAAGTTCTCTGTGCTTCACTTTTGTCATCTTGAAAGTGAGGATAATAGTACCTACCTCATAGAGTTGTTGTGAGATTAAAACAAGATAATGAATGTAAAGTCCTTAGCATAGTATGGGACACATAGTAAAAAGGTGGATAAAGCTTAGCTATTATCATTAAACAAATAGGTAATAAAACTAGTATATTAAGTAACTTAAAGTAAGTTAAATATATACTTATTTATTTTCATTTTTATTCACATTGTTTAGTAATAAGGCAACTCCAATTTAGAATGATTAACTAATTTGCCCAAAACCACATGGCTAGCAAGTAAAGAAGGCATTTTGACTCCTGAGCCCATGTTGTGACTTAACCAATACCCTGTTTTATGGAGTAGAGGGTTCATGCTAAAGAGTAGTGGTAGATGGAAAGAGGGATGCTGGATTTCAGGGGCCTTACATTTACTCAATCAGCAAGTCTTGTATTCCTACTCTGTTAGTAATACTTGACAAGACAGTGGTGTGAATGAACAGTTGGGGGGCAGGCAGATAGCTGGGGAGGGTACAGAGCACAATACAATAATGCATAAGCCCTGACTCCCTAAATGAAAGCCAAAACCCATGTAAAAAAATGAAGTCACATGGCAAGGCAGCGATATGAGAGTTGTCAGGAAGCACTCTATGCCGGGACAGAATAATTTGAACTGGATCTTACAGCCTGTGAAGAGGGAAGTGTCTATGAAACTGCCATATTTAGAGAGATTCATTGGGTGGGGTATATACATGGGTGAAAGGGATACAAGTTAGGGTCCTTTTGCAGCATTGTGGGTGGGAATTGATGAAAGGTAGACGAAGGTAGTGGCAGGGACAACAAGGAACATTCCAAAAGAAAAATTGTCAGGGTTTGGAGGAAGAAGATAAGAATGACTGGATATGGGGATTAGAGAAGGGAAGCTGATTGGGGAAAGTGAGAGGCAACTTTTCTGGCTGTTTCTGTGGGAATGGAAATGTCACTACTATATTTGCTTCCCTCTGAATCAAATATTTAGGGGGATATACATGAACTTTCATATTTGAAGTGTCTGTTTTGTTGTCTTAGTAATACTCATGTTTTCAAATTATGTAACAATTTATTTACTGGTCTAACCTTTTAAAATTTTGTTTCAGTTGTTTGAGCTTCTCAATTTCTTGGCAGAGAATTTCATCTTCTCTTATATGGGACTGACACTGTTCACCTTCCAGAACCATGTCTTTAACCCAACATTTGTAGTAGGAGCATTTGTATCCTTTATTATGTGTTTTATTTTAAAAACTTGTTTTTGAAAATTGAGATTCACATGTGTTTTCTGGAGGGGTGGATAAGAATACATTTAAATATATAAAATTTTTCTCTTGGTATAAGTAAGGATTTTAACTTTTTTTCTCCTCTATTCTATTATGTTTTAATTTTTGTTTATTGCACAAATAATACTGATAGGTTGAAATGACAGAAAAACGTTTCCTGCCATTCTGCCAATCCAAAAAGATAAAACTGTTTGTCCTCTATCACTACAGGGAAGAAAGAGAGAGTAGATCGTGGGGAGCAGTGCAGTGTATGCCACAGGGCATCTCTCAGTCTCTCTCTCTTACTTAATCTCTGTCTCTCTCTTGTACTGAATCTCTTTCTCTCTCTGTCTTGTTGAGGCTTTTTTTTTTATTGATTAATTTTTGTTACAGATGGTTCTCCTTTTCCCCCCACTGATTCCCCCCTCCCCCACCCCTCCCTGCCCCTTCCCCAGATTGTTGTCCATGTCCACTGTTCATGCATACATGCATATAAGTTCTGTGGTTCATCCCTCCCCCACCTCCCCACTCCTTAGGGGATTGTCAGTCTATACCCCGCTTCCGCGTCTCTGGGACTACCCCATTCCTCAAACTGTTATGTTCATTATATTCCACAAATAAGTGAGATCATATGAAATTTGTCTTTCTCTGTTTGGCTTGTTACACTTAGGATGATACTTTCCAGGTCCCTCCATGTAGTCTCAAAGGATAAGAGATCTTTCTTTCTTACCGCTGCATAGTACTCCATTGTGTATATGTACCACAGCTTTTTGATCCATTCGTCTACTGATGGGCACTTGGGCTGTTTCCAGATCTTAGCGATTGTAAATAGTGCTGCTACAAAGATGGGGGTACATATATTCTTTCTTATTGGTGTTTTATGCTTCTTAGGGTATATTCCTAGAAGTGGGATCACTGGGTCAAATGGAAGATCAATTTTTAATTTTTTGAGGTGACACCATATTGTTTTCCATAGTGGTTGTGCCAGTCTGCATTCCCACCAGCAGTGTACTAGAGTCTCCTTTTCTCCACACCCTCGCCAACACTTGTTGTTTGATGATTTGTTGTTGGCGGCCATTCTGGCAGGTGTGAGGTGATACCTCATTGTTGTTTTGATTTGCATCTCTCTGATGATTAGTGATGATGAGCATTTCTTCATATGTTTCTTAGCCATTTGTATGTCCTGTTTGGAGAGGTGACTATTTAGTTCCTCTGCCCATTTCTTAATTGGATTCTTTGTTTTCCTTTTGTGGAGTTGTATGAGCACTCTATATGTATTGGAAATTAACCCCTTATCTGATATATCATTGGCAATTATGCTCTCCCATACAGTGGGTAGCCTTTCCGTTTTGATGATTGTATCTTTTTCTGTGCAGAAGCTTTTGAGTTTGATGTAGTCCCATGTGTTCATTTTCTCCTTTTTTCTATTGCCTTAGGTGATGTGTCAGTAAAAATTCTGCTGCGTATGATGTCTGAGATTTTGTTGCCCACAGTCTCCTCTAGGATTTTTATGGATTCATGAGATACATTTAAGTCTTTTATCCATTTTGAGTTTATTTTGGTGTAGGGTGTAAGTTGACGGTCTAGTTTCATTTTTCTGCAAGTAGCTGTCCAATTTTCCCAGCACCATTTATTAAAGAGGCTGTCCTTACTCCACTGTATGCTCTTGCCACCTTTGTCAAATATTAATTGAGCATATTGCCTTGGGTCCATTTCTGGGTTTTCAGTTCGGTTCCACTTGTCGATATACCTGTTCTTGTGCCAGTACCAGGCTGTTTTGATTATAGTGGCTTTGTAGTATAACCTGAAATCTGGTATTGTGATCCCTCCAACTTTGTTCTTCCTTTTCAAGATTGCTGCGGCTATTCGAGGCCTTTTTTGGTTCCATATGAACTTTTGAAGTAATTGTTCTAATTCTGTGAAGCATGCCGTTGGTATTTTGATGGGGATTGCGCTGAATCTATATATTGCTTTGGGTAATAAGGACATTTTAATGATGTTAATTCTCCCAATCCATGAACAGGGTATGTACTTCCACTTTTTTATATCTTGCTCTATTTCTTTTCTCAAAGACCTGTAGTTTTCTGCGAATAGGTCCTTTATTTCTTTGGTTAAGTTTATTCCTAGGTATCTTAATTTTTTTGCCGCAATGGTAAATGGGATTGTTTTTTCAGTTTCTCTTTCTGTGAGTTCATCATTGGTGTATAAGAATGCCATTGATTTCTTGTCGTTAATTTTGTATCCTGCTACTTTGCCAAATTCATTTATTAAGTCTAGTAAACTTTTGGTGGAGTCTTTGGGGTTTTCTATGTACAGTATCATGTCATCTGCAAATAATGACAGTTTCACTTCCTCCTTTCCAATTTGGATCCCTTTTATTTTTTCTTCCTGTCTGATTGCTGTAGCTAAGACTTCCAGTACTATGTTAAATAGGAGTGGCGAAAGTGGGCATCCTTGCCTTGTTCCTGTTCTTAAGGGAAATGCTTTTAGTTTTTGCCCATTGAGTATGATGTTGGCTGTAGGTCTTTTATATATGGCCTTTATTATGTCTAGATATGATCCCTCTATTCCCACACTGCTCAGCGTTTTTATCAGAAATGGATGCTGGATTTTGTGGAAGGCTTTTTCAGCATCTATTGATATTATCATGTGGTTTTTACTCTTCATTTTATTTATGTGGTGTATCACATTTTTGGATTTGCGAATATTGTACGAGGCTTGCATCCCTGGGATGGATCCCACTTGGTCATGGTGGATAATTTTTCTGGTGTATTGCTGGATCCGATTTGCTAGTATTTTGTTCAGGATTTTGGCATCTATGTTCATCAGGGATATTGGCCTGTAGTTTTCTTTCTTTGTTGTGTCTTTTTCTGGTTTTGGAGTTAGAATTATGCTGGCTTCGTAAAACGAGTTTGGAAGTCTTCCTTCTTCTTGAATTTTTTTAAATAGTTTGAGGAGAATGGGTATTAGTTCTTCTTTGAATGTTCGGTAAAACTCCCCCGTGAAGCCATCCGGGCCTGTGCTTTTGTTTGCTGGAAGAGTCTTGATTACATCTTCAATTTCTTCTGTTGTTATTGTTCTGTTCAGGTTTTCAATCTCTTCCTGATCCAATTTTGGGAGACTATGTGTTTCTAGAAATTTGTCTATTTCGCTTAGATTTTCGAATTTGTTCCCGTATAATTGTTCATAGTAGTTGTTAATGATCTTTTGTATTTCTGTGGTGTCAGTTGTTATCTCTCCTCTTTCATTTCTGATTTTATGTATTTGGGTTCTCTCTCTTTGTTTCTTGGTGAGTCTAGCTAAGGGTCCATCAATCTTGTTTATCTTTTCGAAAAACCAGCTCTTTGTTTTATTGATCCTGTGAATTGTTTTTTTGGTCTCTATGTCGTTTATTTCTGCTCTGATCCTTACTATTTCCTTCCTTCTACTTGCTCTGGGGTTTTCTTTTTGTTTACTCTCTAGTTCTTTAAGTTGTGAGGTTAGGTAGTCTATTAGAGATTTTTTTTTCTTTTTTGAGGTAGGCCTGTAGTGCTATGAACTTCCCTCTCAGAACTGCTTTCACTGCATCCCATAGATTTTGTGTTGTTGTTTCTTCATTTTCATTGGTTTCCAGGAATTTTTTAATTTTTTCCTTGATCCTCTTGGTGACCCATTCATTGTTTAATAACATGCTATTTAGCTTCCATGTGTTCAAATGTCTTTGTATGTTCTTCTTGCAATTGATTTCTAATTTCATGCCATTGTGATCTGAGAAGATGCTTGATATAATTTCAATCTTCTTGAACTTGTAGAGACTTAGTTTGTGCCCAAACATGTGGTCTATGTTTGAGAATGTCCCATGTCCACTTGAGAAGAATTTGAATTCTGTAGTTTTGGGGTGTAGTTTTCTGTAGATATCTATTAAATCCATTTGGTCTAGTGCTTCATTTAGAGTCTTTGTTTCCTTGCTAATTTTTTGTCTAGAGGATCTATCCAGCGATGTCAGCAGGGTGCTGAAGTCCCCTGCTATGATTGTATTGCTATCGATTTCTCCTTTGAAGTCCTCCAGAAGTTTTTTAATATATTTCGGTGCATATATGTTTATCAAGGTTATATCTTACTGTTGTATAGATCCTTTCAATATTATGTAGTGGTGTTCTTTGTCTCTAATTATGGCCTTCATTCTGAAATCTATTTTATCAGATATGAGTATTGCTACCCCAGCCTTTTTTTCTTTTCCGTTTACTTGGAAGATTTTTTTCCATCCCTTCACTTTCAACCTATGTGAGTCTTTTGTTCTGAGATGGTTCTCTTGTAAACAACATATAGATGAGTCATGCTTTCTTATCCAATCAGTTACTCTGTGTCTTTTTATGGGAGCATTCAGTCCATTTACATTTAAGGTGGTTATTCATATGTACTTATTTATTGCCATTTTTGTTTAGTGTGGTTCTATTTTCCTTCCCATTTCTCCTGGTAATTACAGCAGTCCTTTTAACATTTCTTGCAGTGCTGGTTCGGTGCTAATGTATTCCCTTAGCCTTTTTTTGTCTGAAAAGCTCTTTATTTGACCTTCTATTTTGAATGATAGCCTTGCTGGGTAGAGTAGTCTTGGATTCAGATCCTTGTTTGTCATGACCTTGATTACTTCATGCCAGTCCCTTCTACCCTGTAGTGTTTCTTGTGAAAAGTCAGCTGAGAGCCTTACGGGGTTTCCTTTGTAGGTAACCTGTTGCTTATCTCTTGCTGCTTTTAGGATTCTCTCTTTGTCTTTAATTTTTGGAATTTTGATTACTATGTGTCTTGGTGTGGGCCTGTTTGGGTTCTTCTTACTTGGGGCTCTCTGAGTTTCTTGAACTTGAATGCCTTCTTCCTTCTCCAAATTAGGGAAGTTTTCTGTCACTATTTCTTTGAATATATTCTCTAGCCCTTGCTTACTTTCTTCTTCTTCAGGGACTCCTATGATGCGAATATTATTC